TTTTTCATATCTAAATATTGAAATATATGTATATATTTTATATATGTTTATATTTTATATTTAAGAGAAATGCTGAAAATTCATGATGAATATTTGACAATTTCCCTAAAAAAATAATAAAAAAGAAAACTATCCATACTAGATACATCTCTACCGGCGTATCAATATTTTGGCCGGTATAGATCATATTACAATTGTTTTCGGACGGTCTTTAATTTGTTGGAGGAGAACCCAACTCCAAAATATCATAGACTATTCCAGTCACACAGATTTTGTAATAATTTATAAGACAACCGTGAATCCAAAGGGTGGCTCGTTGGTAGGTTAATTGGTTTGCTCCAGTATCGACGTAAAATCGGCAATATCAAGAAAAAAGAAAAGAAGAGAAAAATGAGGTGGAGGTTGGAGAGAGCTGGAGAAGGAGATTAAAAGCCTGAAAGAGATACCGAGACACTGACAACGGTGGCATCGAAGTCTCAACGAGCGAGGGAGGGATATAGAAACTCCATCTGAAACAAAACGGGAAAAGGAATCGTAATTAACGGCTTTCCTTCTCATTTCCCCCAATTTTTTAATGCTTCTGTTAGGGTTTTTATGGCATTGACTTGCAGCAAAGAAACAAATCGAACCCTAAGCGCACGGTAGAGAGAGAGAAAGAGATTCCCCAACGAGGTAGGTTTGGTTGCTTTTTCTTTACAAAGGTCAGCCACCCCTTTGAGACATGTACGCATCTATAATATCAGAGCAAATATTTTTATCGAAGGAAACCCTTCCTTTTTTTCTGCTTCTTTTCTCCTTTCTCTGTTGCATTTTATCTACCTTTACACGTAAAACTCCTAACGTGCGCCTTAAGTTGATTTAATTTCATAACAGCGTAGTGTCATACTTGGTTGACTGTTGTCCCATATAATATATAAGAAAGATGATAAGGTTATCTGAAACTCCTTTTCACTCCAAAACTTCTTTTTAGATTTACCCTCTTACCCTCACTCTCATGCCTTTAGAGATCCCTTTGTAGATATTTGCTTTAGAAAAATGAATAGTATTTGTAAGATTGCAACAATGTGAGGAAGATAAAATAAATTAGAGGTACTTTTTGTTAAATAAAAGGAAAAAGAACAATGATGTTCGAGAGGCTTTGATCAATCAAACCCCAAATAAGTTGTTATCATGTTTTCTGGCATCAAAGTGAGTCTTACTATAGGAGTGCAATCTGGGTACGATTTTTGTCAAAATTTGAATGGACCAACCCGATAGCCCAGGCTCAAAAACCTGAGTTGCACCTTGCTCAGTCGTAAATTTTGGTATTAAAGGATAACAATGGTGCATGTAGATCAATTTTGTTATGGTCACCAAGAGACTAATGTTTTACTCCGGGGAGGGTACACATGCTATAAATAAAAGCTAATAAGGTGTCTTTAGAGTTAGAGGTGTTATTATGTTAAAATAAGTTCAAGAGAGTGCTAGAAGAGTGTAGGGAAGTTTCAGTAACTCAAATTGATATTTTGCTTTCTGTCTTTGTATATGTTGGATAGGCCAGTAACTAAAGCTTTCGCATCTTGGTTTCTAGAGCGGAGAACTGTACATGAGGCTGGTTTTATGGAGCATTGAACATCCGCCACTCTTATCATTGGCAGATAAATAGAGCCTGATCCAGCCAACCCGAAAAAACAGGGATAGGGTCTCATATTTATCTACTTGAATGTGAGAATGATCTGACCCGGAAAAATTAAGGTTGGGTTGGGTTGGATCATGAGTCAAATGCCGATCTGATTGTCAAGTCTCATTGGGATTATTTATTCATTATTAGAAGTTTCCACTCTTTAATTTTTTTTTATTTAGTCTTTACTCTTTATTGTTTACTCTTTAAATTGTTAAATATTCAAGTTTTTTTGTTTTATATTTAGAATTTTATGATTAATTCTTTTAATTTTGGCATTTTTTCATGTAGTTTTTTTTTTTGAATTCCACTTATTTTTTTGGGATGACCCGAATTGACTCATGGGTTGATCCTAACCCGAACATTTAGGGTTAGGGTTTAGCATTTGATAACCCAACCCGAAATCAACCCGAAGTGTCTTGACCCAACCTGAACCCGACCCACCCAACCCAATTGCCAGGTCTACTGATGAATAGGGGTGTAAACAGATCAAATTTGAAATGAATTAGGTAATATCTGAATTTGAATCCGATTAGAAAATTCTATATTTGAAATCAATTTGATTAATTAATTCTTTTATATAATTAATAAATATTTTATTTATATAAAGTATATGCATATATAAGTTATTATATATAAATTATATATAATATTTAAATATTTTATGTATTATATAAGAATTATATAATCAGTCAAATTCAGATGTTTATTGAATCGAATCAAGTCATATCTGAATTCAAATCCGATTAACTAACCGGTATGAATAGGATATTAGAATTCGACCAGTTACAACATTCAAATTATCTTAATTCGATTCGATTATGTCGAATCTCAAATTCAAAATCGAATTTTTGAATACCGTTGACACCCCTATTGGTGAATTTAAGTTTTGAATATCACCTTTAATTAAGAACCTGGTTCTAGTTGTGTTAAAGTAGAAGTTAGGGAAATTCATTCTAGAAGCAAAAATTTTTTAGACAATGTTTAATTTGAAAGAAAAAGGGGGGAAAATGTAGGGAAACTTTTACAATGAATGGTTTTTGTAAAGTGGAAACTAGGGCTGTCCATGGGCCAGGTTACCTGACAGAACTAAATTGATCAAACTGATTGTATTGGTTCTGGTTATGTGATTTTGTCCCAATTGAAAATTGGAAAGAGACCGGTTCTTGATGTCTCTAACTGATTCAGACTTGAACTGATTACTTAATGAATAATACATAAAAACATCATGGTTTTCTTGTGATTTTTGTTAATCACTTGTTTTATAAGGTCTATTTGTCTTTTAGTGAGTTGTACTATTGCTTACCTAAAAAACACTTGTTTTATCAATATAATCATTTTTATTAAGGTTATTTGATCAAAAATAAAGTTTTAAATTATTATTATTATTGAAAATTGTAAATCTTAAATAATAATCAGGTCTTATTGGGTCAGACCCAATTGTCCTTAATAAATGGGACAGTTCTAGTTCTGGAGCCAAATAATTGGCTTGGGACTCATACAACCTGTCCCGAACCAGACTGACCCATTCACAGTTCTATAGGGGTCAGGGGTGTTCACATTAAATGTCAAACCAATTAAACCGGTCCGACCCAACCTGAGTTGGTTGGTTTTGGTTTGTATGAGAAAATAAATTGACAATTCGATTTGGTTTCGATTTTTATACATGAAAACTGAAATCGAGACGAATCGAATTGATTCTATATGTTTAACTGTTTAAGTAATTATTAATTAGTTCCTACCCTATATGTTAAAGGTTGATATATTTTATTTGTGTTTGTTTGAACTTTGAAAAAATGGTTATTTATGATAAAAACTAAAAATGCAAAACCAATACAAATATAATACAATGGTACAATATTTATGTATAAATTTAAATATATATTGACAAAAAAAAATCAGTTTTACATAAAAAATTAATCGGTTTAAATTTATATTTTGATTTTGCATAAAAACTAAAAAGAAATAAACTTAAAACCAATACAAATATAATACAATGGTACAATATTTATGTATAAATTTAAATATATATTGACAAAAAAAATCAGTTTTACATAAAAAATTAATCGGTTTAAATTTATATTTTGATTTTGCATAAAAACTAAAAAGAAATAAACTTAAACATAATTAGATATTTTAGTTTAAAATATATTTAAAAACCGACTAAACCGATAAACCGACCCTTCATGTTTGGGTTGGTTTTGCTTCAGAGTCGATCGGTTTCGATTTAATCAATGAGTAAACCGACTAAATCAAATCGGTTGAAGAAAATAACTCAAACCGACCCAACCCGACCTATGAACACCCCTAATAAGAGTTTCTTAATTCAATGAAATACCCATCAGTGATCATTTATAACCTTATTTGCAAGTGATTTAACTTAGGTCAAATGAGTTCACTTGTGATGTTATAAATCAAATAAAAAAAATTAAAAGATATAAGAATTTTGCAAAAAATGAGCGTATTTATTAAGAAAAATCTATAATGCTGTAAAGATATTGGAAGAACTTTAGCCAATTAAAACCCATCCGTAAATTTTGATAATTACCAACTGATTGGCTACCATATTTATAATACTAGTTGATTTGTCACAAATTTTTTAGATAGTTAGTATATCCTTCCCGTATCAGTTTAAAAAAACTAAATATGATAGTTTAAATTATTATTATTATTATTATTATTATTTATAATGAGAATGGTTAAATAAAAAGAGAATTAATGTCTGATTCATCACCCACAGACAGACTCAGTAAAATGGTTCAAGAGTTCAACTGACTAGATCACGTGGTTGTTGATAAAACTAATGTTTTTTTCGTAACTAATAAATACACTCTGAAATTTGACCGGGTTGAAAAATCAACCGGTTGAACTGGTCAATTCAACCACAAGCCAAAAACATTGTGCAAATTATTGAAAATTAACAACATACATTAAGCATGGCCATTGGACTAAACTACCCATCTAAAATAGTCGCTTACCGAGAGAAGGGTCGTGATAGTGTCCTTTTAAGGAGTGGATCATACCAGATTACAGAGGCTGTGGTTTAATCTAGTAGATTGCGAAGATTTTCGTATAATACTGTTGGTTACTTAAATTTATTCTTTCTTGATTTTATTCATAGAATTAACACTGTTGATGATAAACCTCGGCACTACTACCGAAAAATTAAAAAAAAAACTCAGCACATTATATCAATCTGAGAGACTTAAATTTATTAATCAAATTCATTTAGGCTAAGGATTAAGGTGGACAGTCTTCACTGTCTACATAAGGACGACGCAACAATGGCCCTTTCGGCGTACTTCAGAAAGAAAAAGAAGGGGGGGGGGGAGAGAGAGAGAGAGAGAGGGAGAGACAATAATTCAATTTTTCTTTGGTTCTCTTTTGATACCCTCTGCAGCGTGCACGGTGCACCGTGCAGCAGGGCTCCTTCTTCGAACCGATCATTGTCAGCTGAAGGTCACATGGAGCCGGACCGGTTCGGATTCCGGCTCACCATCTCTATACAACTTCTGTTTTTTCCCCTCTCTGTCAACGCGAACAAAAAGAGCCGGAAGCTTCGTCCTTCCCCCCTCTCCCTCTTTCTATCTTTATATGAATAGAACGCCTGTGTTTGTATAATATATTTGTTGCCAGGAAGGTAGAGCTGTTTACCTTTCATTCTCATTCACACGTTCTGGGGACTGAAGGGCCAGGAGCTCAGCTAACAGGTAAATTTCCTGTAATCCTGTCTCAGATAGGTTCTGTTTCTCATCGATCGATTTTTGAATTTTCGAATTTAAGAAGCTTTCATCTTTACACCCCACTCCCCCAAAAGAAAAAAAAAAGAAAATAATTTATGAAGCTTTCATCGGGCATTTTCCTTTTCAAATAGGCTCATGCTTTTCTGTTCATGGAAACATTTTATTTTCTGGGTATATATGAGTTCTCTGTAAGGAACAGATAAGGGTAACCTGGATTTGACTATTCGAGGTTTTTGTTCCATATTTTTAATTTTGGTTTATGCCGCTTTTTGCGTTGTTACCTAATAATAATGCTTCTACTATTCCATCTTGGTTTTTGATTTTTGATTTTAAGTGCCCATTTTTTATCAATGAAGTTTTTTGGGAACTTGCTGAAACGTGCCACATGAAGTTCATCTCTTCTGATACCAAAAAAAGGTTCATCTCTTCTATCTAATGTCCAGTGTTTAGAGCTATTGATCGAAAAAGGTTTACCTTTTGCTGAAGTTTTAACAATCTTGTTAAAAGATGCTTGGTTTCTTTTTAAGGTATGATTGCAGCAGATGCGATTTAAACTATTTTCAGGTTCCCTGCCAGACTTGAGAGAGAGAGAGAGAGAGCGTTCTTCTGCTGCGACGTATGTAAAATGTTTTGGGGTTTTCGGTACATTGTTGACGAACTACATAACTGAGAAATTTCTTGGGGCTCTCTTATGTCTAAACAACAAAAAGAGACAAAAAAGAAGAGTTTATTTGTTCGCTTTGTGACGGTGACCTCTGTATTTCACATGTACTGACTCAAGAAGAGATCCTTATCTTGCGTTTTTTCTATTTTGTATGAACCGCGACTATTTTGCGGGTTCCTTCATTTTTCTCACACTTGGTCTTTTTGGTTCTTGGGTTGGAAGGACTGTGATAAAAATTTCTTAAAAATTCTGAGTTATCGTGATGAAGTTATTATTTCTTCCTTAATCTTCTGTTTCATTTAGAACTTTCATTCTGTATTTTTTTTTTTCAAAAAGAAAGGAGAAAAATCTAATTAATAAACAGAATTCTTGAATCTTGAGTTATAATTTTACGGAGTTGCTAACATCTTTTCATTTCTAACAATTTTGGTTTTCAAAACACAGAATTGTCTTAAAATAACATTTTCCCTAACTCGTCCCGCAAATTCTTAAATTTGATTTGATCCCCACGCATTCTTCTCTTATATTTTATTATTTCTAGTATCTACTTTCGGTGCCTCTGTTGACAGACAGAGAGATTCCTTTTACTGATAGAACTGTCATCTCCGTTCATTCTTGCAGTTTTTTTCTTATATACTCCCAATTCATGGAACGAGATCAGGGTTGGGCGTCGAAGAAAACCCGGAAGAGAAAACTACCAGAAGAAGAAGATCGTGGGATGTTGGACTTGTCGTTTGACGAGTTGAATCAGGACCTGCTCGAAAAGGTTCTTGCATGGCTGCCAACATCGAGCTTCTGCCGCCTTCGTTCAGTGTGCAAAAGATGGAGTTGTGTTGCAGAGTCTGCAACTTTTCTACTCGCTTGCTCTCAGATTCCCTCCCGGGATCCCTGGTTTTTTATGGTCGATCCCAATCTTGACCAATCCATTGTCTTTGATACTGCTGAAAAGAACTGGAAAAATCTCAATCACTCCCTTCATCTCCAACAAAACCCCGGCCACAATTCCATTCCAGTTGCCGCTTCTGGTGGTTTGATCTGTTTCCGCACCGTTTCAGGGGAATTCGTTGTCTGCAACCCAGTTACAGGTGCATACCGTGAACTTCCTCCGGTGTGTACAACCAATCAAAGTCAGACACTTGATGCCATTGCAATGGTTTCATCCGCCAACCGCTCCTCTTACAAGCTTGTCTTGGTCTGCGGTGACCTCCCCAACCTCTCCGCCAAGGTCTACGATTCGGGGACAAATCAGTGGGAAGAAGAGATTACTCTAATTCGGAACACCAACAGAAATTCACTAGAATCTGAGTCTAGCGGAGATGAGACTCTTTATTTTCTGAGTAAAGCTGGGGACGTTGTGGCTACCAACATGCAGAGGAGCCCATCTAAGCAATACTCATCGGTTATAACTGTTAAAGATGGCGAAGAGATTATTTATTTTCTTAGCTCAACGGGGACGGTTGTGGCATGCAACCTGGCCAAGAAGTGCTTCTCCGAATATCCGAGATTGCTGCCTCTCTATTTTGAGTATTCCATCGATGTCATTGAGTGTAGGGGTGAGATGTTGTTGGTTGTTTTGTCGGAATTACTGGAAAGCGCAAGTCTTAGGGTGTGGAGGTTCTCTGAAGAGAACCGATTGTGGCATCAGATTGCAGTTATGCCTCCGGCCATGTCACACGAATTCTATGGCGGGAAAGCGGATATTAACTGTGTGGGGTATGGAGATCAGATACTCATCTGTGTCAACTCCACGGGAACGGAGTTTGGTTCTTGTTTCTTATGTGATTTGGTGACAAATGGTTGGATTGAATTGCCCAAATGTTTTGTGAATGGGAAGCCTAGGGAGTTCATGTCTGCCTTCTCATTCGAGCCTAGGATTGAGGCATGTGTGTGAACTGTGAAGAGGGAGATGGCCGCGCGATTGGGGGAAGAGGGGATCAGTGTAACTTGTAATGTTTTCTTTATTTTTTTTCAATATTTTGTTTATTACTGCGGATTTTCTCTTTTTTATTATAAGATAAGATTCAGGCCTTTAGCTTTAGGGCCGGTTTTAACTGTCATACCTATATCTACAACTGTAGTATCATAAAGCTTTATGGATGTAAGGATTTTCTCTAGATGGTTTCAGCTATTAAATTCGGTAATGTACAACTGCACCTTCATCCATAAGCTGGGATCCATGACTCGTAACCTTGTCGAATAGCTCGCCTTATTGAAATTGCTTTGGGGGGTTGGGGTTTGAGTGTAAGGGAGAGATGCCTTTTTGAAGAGTTTCATCCTCTAAGAAAGGGAAAAGAGAAACATATGCGCATATACAGAGAGGGGTGCCCTCAATTCAGAATATCTCAGGAATCTTTATCTATCCATACTTTTGGTACCTTTACTTGTCAAAATATGTAGCTTCAACTCATCATTATTAAAGCTAAGTGGTGCCGTGGTGGTTCACATACATGGCCTCCTAAGAATCTCTTTACACTTTTGCAACGAATCCAGCTTGCCCACCTAAGAAAATGAAGCAATTGTCCTACTGATCAACTAACCTTCTCTGAACGTAAAGGTGCAATAGAATCAAAATGGGAATTGCCTTCTCGCCCTATGATCCTTCTACGTAAGTGCAAAGTCCCGACCCCATTTGAAAAGTATCGAGTGGGTGGGGTCGAGACTCCCTTCCCAGTTCCCACAATTGCCCAGCCCGTGATATTGAAGGAACTGCTACCTAAATTACAGTGCTCGTGATGTTGAAGCAGTTGCATTCTCGTGCTGATATTTTTTTATTGACCAACCTATAATGTTGCAAGTAGAATCGACAAATCAAACACAACTTAAGTGATTCTTCCTCCCTTATCTAGAAATCGGTGATTTTTAAAATAAGTGATTTTTGAATGATCACCAAATATTGTTGTTTGGTATCATTTATGTCATATAAGTAGTTTGTTTGGTACTGAATTCTCAAAGATGATTTTACTTTTCTTGGAATAATTTTTTGGAGACATGTTAGATGCCATGCCATGTCATCCACCAAAGAATGGAATCACCAAAAATGGTGATCCCTCAAGATGGATTGATTTCAGGAATCGCTTTGTTTTTTTGTTTTTTTTTCCCAAAAATCACAAAAAAAAAACAAATTAAAAATCACTAATTCTTCTTTATCCCATGTGTCAACCTCAGTTTTGCTTTTTCTTTCTCACATTACATCGTCTTCCCATTGTTCTTTCTTTGATTAAACTGTAGCTGGGATGTCAAATGATCGTGTTTGGTTTGGGACAAGATGTACTAATCTTGAACCAATTATTAATCGAGACAAAACCATAGACCATGAAGCGCCTGATTATTAATTGAGATAATCAGGTCTTACCCAATTGTACTGATTATGATTATAAGGACTTCAAACTTTATTTTTGATAATATAACCTTAATAAAAATGACAATAAAATAGTAAAATTTTATATATTAATAAATCAAGCATTTTTAACTAAAATGATCTTATTATCAAATTTGCTCTTTGAAATACAAAATATAATAAAAATTATAAAAAATAGAAAACTTTTATATATTATTAATTTAATAATTGATTTGGAGCAAGTGAGAACCAGAACTGATCCAATTACCAATCGGGACAAAATCACAGAATCAAACCAAAACCAACACTATCGGTTTGGTTTGGTCGGGTAGGGATTGAATGATCTGGCAACCCTACTTTCGCATCTTCTTATCCTATTGGCACATTAACCCAGCCCTTTGTATGATTGCCTCTCACTTATGCTCTTGTCCATTGAAATATATGAAACCGGATGGGCTGGAGACAAAATCACAAACACCGGTCTAGGTAACCTATCACAAGTGAACACACACCACTGTTCCATACACGTGGAATCCACACTTTATGCATCCATAACACTAGTGCTATTCACACATGATAAGTTGTCCAGTCCGATGTGTGCCAACTAATTTGAATTCCTGAAATACTATTCTTTATTTCTAACCTATTTGGAATAGATCTTACATAGTAGTTTCTGGCTTTATAAGGTGGGCCCCATTCAAATAATATAAAGCATTGTTTGGTGGGGTCTGAATCTGCTGACCATAACACAGCTTGCCATATTTACCCAACTGCACACCAGGAATATCAGTGAAATAAACAAAAAAAAATAAAAAATCGTTTTCCACACATGCATCTTTTTAGTAGCTTCTCCAAAAAAAAAAAAAAAACTCAATCAAATCTTTCAGCCCTCCTAAACAGACCCTTAATTGTTCTTATGAATCTAATTAATCATTTTATTAATAAAACTTTATGCTTGTGAGCTTTTCATTTCTTCTTCTTCCGACATTTCTATTTTTTTTATCTTATGGCTGCAAATAATAGTATCTAATTGTCTAAATTTGAATTTGATCTCATTAACGATATTCTGAATTCAATTAGTTTATTATTAGATCAAATGTGATTCCGCCCCTATTTGATTAGATAAAATCTAATTTGATTCAATTTATATATGTTTTATCACATATACTTAACATTAATATTAATGTATCTACTAATAATTGTTGGAGAATATGAACTAGTATGGCTGTAATAGAGATAAAACCAGAATCCAAACAAGCAAAACCGAACTATATGAAAATAAAATAGTAATATGATAAAGAACTGATGAAAATTTATCGGTGTAGCTGAGTCGTGGCAAGTGTCTGCTTTCCTTAAAACCAATTTAGCTGTCTCTTGGAGTATTTCTGTTAGTGCAGAAGGATTCTGGTGGTCGGCCTCCAAGATACAACAATTCTTAGTCTTGGCATTGTGTGCACTCACAATCCAAAACAGTGAACCGGTATGTTATGTGTGTCCAAAACGATTCAACCAATGAAAGAGGAAAAACACAGTACGGGAGAGCAAAAGTTGCATTCAGAAGAAGAGAAAAAGAAGTCCTCTAAAAGGGCAAAGTTCATGCAATATAAACATAGATGTCCTGACCACTAAGAAAACCCAAGAAAAAAATGTTTACCAACAACTCCCATAAACTTTGGGAGTTATTTTACGCAAAGGGAGAGTGGGTGGTTACAAAACATTTAGAAATGAACTCTTGGTTAAAGCGTTAAAGATTTAATGGAAAAAATAAAATAAAAAATAAATAAAAATAGGGCAAGAGTCATGGACCTATGTGCACGGCACAACACAAGACAGTGTGGCGGGCAGACACGCATAGAGGAGTGCTCTTCCTAACCCATGTAAGACTCAAGGTAATGCCCTAGCAGACAAAGCAGAAAGGATAAAATATTAAAAAGCAACAACAAAAGACAATTAATTTGAATCACACAAAAAACAAGAAAAATTACCAATAATAATAATTGCTTAAATGTTGTGTTTTTATTAAATTATCACATATTCAAGTTTCACACAAATAATTTTCAACTCATGTTCATAATATACAATATTAAAGTCATTTTAGTTGACTTTATTTATAATTAACATATGATATTTTGATCAATTTTAGTTTATTTTATAATACCATTCAATATCCGATTACAATTGTTTTGAATCCAGTAAATCCGATGGATAAGATTCAAATTTGCCTATTTTATCCTAGCAAGGTGTTTTTTTAGGTGTGGCTATTAGGGAATAAAAAGACATTATATGAATAAATTATAGTTACCTCTGCTCTTTATAGTGGTGAAACACCTAACCCATGTTATATTTTGATACATCTATTTATTATTGTCGATTTGGAGGGGGTGTACAGCTGGGCGTAGTCCCGCCTAAAAGTTTTTACCCACGAATAGGTGTGAGCAAAAAAAAAGCAAAAAAATTGAATCGATTGAAAAAATTGACTAAACCAAACTGAAAAATCGGTTAACTGAGTCGGTCAATTCGGTTTCGATATTTTTAAAAAACCAAAGGTACAGGTTTGGTTTTGATTAACCAATAAAGTAAATAAGCGGTTAACCGAACCGACCGGTATACATATGTTTCTGTATATCATATATATATTTATGTATATTATATATTTCATATTTTTTTATATATTATAAACTAATAAATATGTATTATATATAAATATATATTTATAATATATGATATATTATTTATTATTTAAAATATAATATTATATATTTTTATAAAATATATTGTAAAAATTAAAAAACCAAAAAATCGCTGAACCGAATCAATGGTTAATTGAACCGGTCAACTGGTTAACTGATTGGTTTCGGTTACTGGTTTTCCAAAAATCGATAAGTACTGGTTTCGTTAGAAAATATAACCCATGGTTCTGTTAATCGAACTATGAGCACCCCTACCCACAAACCCCACTGGGTGGCTATAGGTTTTGATCCCAAGCCTCCCTATGACTAACTAGAAAGAGTCTGGATATGTTCCTAACATAGCATGCCTCACACCAACCTCACAGCATGTCCTGTTTGCACATTGGGAACATCTCCCATACTTATATTTATTATTCATGGAGAGATGTTCCTAATACAAGGTGGGATGTGATTGTGAAGTTGATATAAAAGCATGCTTTGTGAGGAATGGATCCCAATTCAGCTAGAGACCCTACCAAGAGAGTCACCATCCCTTTCGTTATTTTGCATACTATGGGTAGGGAGATAAGGCTATGTATAGGGGTCTCCTTGAAGGACAAAGGAAAGTTGGGAGTAGGTGATAGGCTAAAAGATAGGGCAAATGAAGTGATAGAATGATGATCTCTCTATTTATAGGGAGAGATCCCAAGGTCCCGATAGGAAAGAGGCAAAAGTGTTTGATTCCTATTAGGGAAGGGAATCTTGGATTCGGTGTCAGTTGTCAGGGAACACTGCTAGGGTTTCGCCATGTGTCTTATGAGATATCTCAAGGACGAGCTTTCCTTTCATTTGAGGATTCTCATAATACAAGTGTGCTACTTCCTCTCGTGACCCTTTTAAATTGACGTGAAGTAGATGACATCACTACTTATCTCGCGTGTCCTCTTTAAGCCTACGAGGCATCCCATGACACGCGTTATTAGCGCACACGTATTTCATTTACTTGTTTCTGGCCTACGATAAACTTGCACATGTTGCGGTTGTGCGACGACCTTAATCTCATCGCAAGTTCACGTGGGTCCTAAGCTCATCTCAGGTCATAAGTTCATCGCATGCTTACGCGAGTTCCAAGTTCATCACAAATGTGTGATAAAT